TTTGTGGACGAGCTCACAGCCCACCTGGTGTTAAGTGGTTACTGGAGCCCATAGACATCTACGACGTAAATGCGCCATACACCTTGAGATATAAGTTCTAAGGTCTCAGTATAGTTACAACGGCTGCCCCACCCTTCAAACCGAAACGCATTACTGCTTCACGGCAGAAATAGGCGGGGCGGTGGTAACTACCCGTGCAGACTCACAAGAGGTCCTACCACCAACGGTCAGTCACACGAAAGGTGACCTGTGCTTGGAGTGCCTAAAAGCTCAAAGTGGATCGAGAGGATCCAATAGGATATACTAAAGCACGGTAGCTTTTCGTCTTAGCATATAAGCCGTCAAGATAAGAGAGTTATCGTGTCGCTTTCCCAAAGAAGCATTCTGATGCTGTATTCAGATAGGTATTTATTCTAATGTGAAGCAGTCGCGAAGATCTACATTCCTCACATACCACGGTGATTCGACGGCTATCCTGAAGAAACGGGATTGGATGATTTTTTTTTTTTTGGTCAGGAGGAAATCGCCGGACTTCCGCCCTCCACTGGGGACGGCGGGTGTTTAGTGCGGAGCACATCTCTCCCATCACTCTCCCCCTCGGGAAGCCAGACTGGCGGTCGTCGGCGCCACGACCACCAGCCCTCTCGGTCGGCGATTGGGTGATCTGGAGGGATTTAATGTGGGTGCGGGCCACGTGAGATTACACTACACTTATATAACTCATTAATGTTCAGGTAACCACTTATCTCTCTCTATCACTAATTGACCACTAAGTGTTGTCGGCACAGCTAATTTTTCTCTCTCATTCTCCTCTATCAGTCGTCAGCTCAACACTCACTCCTCTCTCTCATATCGTCATTAACACACTCCATCCATGTCTTCCTCGGTCGACCTCTTCCCCCTCTACCTTGCACTACCATTTCCATACATCTCCTAGTCACATGCATCTTCTCTCCACGCATCACATGTCCATACCACGATAACCATTAAGTCCAATAAAAGAAGAAAATCGATGTTGTGATGCATTAATTTAAACGGCCGTCTGGTGTAGTGGTAAGTGACACGGTCACTACACAAGGGGGTCGCGGGTTCGAATCCCGCCAAGGGAAGATATTTGTATGATAAATATAAATGTATTTTCCAGGGTAATGGATGTATATTAAATATATGTATGTGTATAATAAAAGTCTTACATTTATTTCCGTTATCTGGTACCTGTAACACAAGTTCTTTACGAACTTATCACGGGACCAGTTAACGTGGCGTGATTGTTAGTAAATATTTATTTATTTATTTATTATGTTCTCGCGCGGGTAGGTTACACCGACCCGCCTATTTCTGCTAAGAAGCACTCATGTGTTTTGTTTGATGTATGGAACCGGCGTCTCACAATGACCTCATATCTCAACGACTAGGGTACAGATAAAAAAATAAATAAAATGACATTTTTTTTTCTTCTTAAAATATATTTACTAATAAATTTATATAAACAAATACTAGTTTTTAATTTTTAATACATTGTTTTATTTTCTTACAGCTAAACATACTTAGGTACTTTTTTTATAACGAATTGTTTGGCATAAAGTATTATATACAGGGTGTAAATTTATCGTGTCAAAAGCCAAACATGACTACACGATTTAGTCACAAACGCTAAGCTTTAGAAAGTTGATATCGAGGCTATTTGACGTTTGGTTGAAGTCGTCGTGGCCTAAAGGATAAGACGTCCGGTGCATACGTGTTGAGCGATGCACCGGTGTTCGAATCCCGCAGGCGGGTACCAATTTTTCTAATGAAATACGTATTCAAGAAATGTTCACGATTGACTTCCACGGTGAAGGAATAACATCGTGTAATAAAAATCAAACCCGCAAACTTATAATTTGGGCAAATAGGGTAGGTATAACGCAGGTATAGAAAATAACGCAGGGTAGGTACCACCACCCCGCCTATTTCTGCCGTGAAGCAGCAATGCGTTTCGGTTTGAAGGGTGGGGCAGCCGTTGTAAGTATACTTGAGACCTTATATCTCAAGGTCGGAGGCGCGTTTACGTTGTAAATGTCTTTGGGCTCTAGTAACCATTTAACATCAAGTGGACTGTGAGCTCGTCCACCCATCTACGCAATAAATAAAAAAAGAACATCGTGTAATAAAAATCAAACCCGCAAAATTATAATTTGCGTAATTACTAGTTTTAGGACATCTTGTGAGTTCGCACGGGTAGGTACCACTACTCTGCCTATTTCTGCCGTGAAGCAGCAATGCGTTTCGGTTTGAAGGGTGGGGCAGCCGTTGTAACTATACTTGAGACCTTATATCTCAAGGTCGGTGGCGCGTTTACGTTGTAAATGTCTTTGGGCTCTAATAACCACTTAATACCAAGTGGGCTGTGGTACCGCAGGCTAATAGGTATAAAAACATTAAAGACTTCCGTTACATACACACGATCGTGCATACCGAGCTAATATTGTTTGAAATCGGTATTTGAAAAGTCACACCCTGTATATGCTATATACAAATTCAGTTTCTTAACATTATAAGGACTTTTTGGCGGGAACGCGAGGAGTGAAGTCGTGTGATTTGTTTTATTTTGTCTATTTAGTGTTTCTTCAGGTTTAAATGTATAATAACGGTGGTTTATTAACTGTTTAGTATCTGTGAAACTGCACAAATGTGGGAAAATGAAACAAAGCCGCTGGACGTAACTTCTCGGGGTCCTCCAAAAAGTCCACTGAAAAAGTCTCAGTTAATGACCACCATTTTACTGAGATTATATTTCATCCCATATCATATCATTTAATTTAACTTCATCTCAGTTAATTAATGTCTCAAATGAATCATCTTCATTTCATTTCACTCCATATTATCATTTTTCATAAAAATAAGAATATAAATTAAAATAATTAATGACTTAAAGGTTTTAGTTACCAGGTCATAAAATCCCTAAAAAAAATAAAAAATTAACATTATAATACTGTAACGTAAGATGTCTTAACACTTTCAGCCCGAACCGTCGATAGATCGACACTAAACTAACACTCATAAAGTGCAAACTACTAAAAAGAATTAACGCTTTTTTTAATGGTGAGTGGTTAGCGTCGCCCATGGACTTCAGCAATGCCAGGGGCAGAGCCAAGCCGCTGCCTAACGCTAATGACCAATACACACTCGTATAGCCTTACAGACCTGACGAAATTGTCTGTATTAACATCTTTTGTCTCTCTCGGACGCGCGTCAAGGTGGATATGAGCGACAAGGATGTCATAGTCCGGTATGCGTATTTCATATTAGCTATCACCAAAATCATATACCATCGGTATAACTAAACAAAACCTAAAAAATTAAATGCAGGCATTTTGTATTCACTCTTGATTTCCTTATAAAATATATTGTGTATATTAAAAAAAAATACTAATGGCACTCGGGGACTGATGCGGTAAAGCTATTGCATAACATTTTTTATCAACTTATGCAATTATAATTAGACAATAATAATTATATATTAAACTAATAATAAAATAAGACCACGCTATATTTATAAGCATTAACAAAAGTAAAACATTAACTGTCCCCTTCACACTCATTAGCTAGACCGCACGAGAGAGAGACGGGCAGACTTTTCATTATGGGCATGCAGTGCGACGTCACGACGCGTGAATATTCACACACACTACGCAAGGGCAACGTGGGTTTGTGTTGAACGCGAGCTACATGGTAGGCGGAGTGGGGGTGTCAGGTTTTTTTCCGTTACGGAATTTTTTGACTCGGTCACCGCGCTCAAAGCCCGCGATAAAAGCTATGCAATAGCTTAAAACGCAGTACTGTTTGTGTTTTTTTTAAATATAATCTACTTATAATTTATATAGGTACTTTCATTTTCATTATTATAAACAAATGTACTTCTTATACTAATCTATACACTATTCACACTCTATATAATAATTATAAAAGACTAGACTAAATCTGTATATATATATTTTATTAGAAGACCACTAATTCTTTTGATAACCAAAACAATGTTTGTTTTTGTTTTATTGAAATTGTTTACAAATCGATTATATTAATGCAAAACGAATAATTGATCATATTGAATCGATTGTCGTATCTACAAAGACTCTAGGACTAGGGAACTCATCATTAATAATAAATGTAGTTTTTCTTTTGTTACCTATTCTTTTTGTATTTATTGCTTAGATGGGTGGAAGAGCTCACAGCCCGCCTGGTAGTTAAGTGGTTACTGGAGCCCATAGACATCTACAACGTAAATGCGCCACCCACCTTAAGATATAAGTTCTAAGGTCTCATGTATAGTTACAACGGCTGCCCCGCCCTTCAAACCGAAACGCATTACTGCTTCACGGCTGAAATAGGCAGGGCGGTGGTACCTACCCGCGTGGACTCACGGTTCTACCGTGTGTAGGCTAGTCTTAGTAAAGTCGCCAGGTGAAGTCGGAGCATTCTCTCCATATTTACAGTTCCAATCACCAATACAATTATCATATTTCATTATCCGTACACAGTGTAGATACAGCAGACATTCAACGGCAAGTATTGGCAGATCACGAAAATAAACAAAAGCCTTTTCTTTTGATTATCAAAAAAAAAACAGCTGGTCATTTTTTACGACTAGTATATTTTCTGGCGGACGGACTGATAATATTACATGATTGATTACCGTGAGATAGGAAAACTTTTAGTGTCTACAAAGTTTTAATTGTGAATGATTTATTGCTTTTTTTTTAAACATACAAGCGCAAAAACATAAATTTTCGTCGAAAAAAAAAACCTCTTTCAAATTAAAATAATTGAAGGTTTTAATTTTTTGTCAAATACCGTATTTTATATAAAATTTAACGCTTAGCCGAACGTCCGCCATTTTTAACACCATTACTCATAAACACGTAACAATTATTTTAAATTACGTCTCTAATTACTTAAAAAATTACTATACACAGGGAGAAACACTGTTAAATATTAACAAAAAGAAAAATCGTTTATTTTCATACCACGTACGGCCTGAACATGTCGATTCCGGGTCGGCTGCCATCTTGAGACATCACGACCAATCCGCGTCGATTCTCCAGATTCGAATTAAAATTAGCGGCCGCCATCGCCCTTTCTCGTTCCAGCGCGATAATTCTGTCCCTGTCGAGCATCGGCGGCGGTTTGACAGCTGTCAGATCAGCTGTCAATGTCTTCTCCGCGTCCGTCTGCTCTTTCGGTTTGTTTTTCTCGTCTGAATGCTGAGGGTCCTTGTTCTTAGAGTCCTGTTGGGCTTTTTTCGATCTTTTCCATTTCATCCTGCGGTTCTGAAACCAGATCTTTACCTGTGGACAAGAGTTTTATTTATTAGCTAACTATATGCTCGCGTGCGTGTATATATGTACATATTTACTGTTGCGACAGTCGTCAACTAAAGTTATGTATTATTATTTTAGAAAACTTAAATACGATTAAAAAAACTTTAAAATAACACTTTTTAAGAAGTTTCTGATCCACGCGATTTTTCATTTTGACACTGAAAGATTTCCGATAGCGATATTTTTACAGCTTTACAGGAGAACCATTTAAAGTTTGAAATTTGAAAAAAATATCATAAAAAAAAACTTCAGTAGCTATTTAAATAAAACAAACTTAATTGAAGTTCAATTAAATACGTCGAACTGTTGATGCTAATACCAAATAAAACACACCCTGAGTTATCTATATATTAATACGTGAAGCAAAAACTTTGTATCCCTTTTTATGAAAATTGCGCGTACGGAGGAGTATGAAATTTTCCACACTTATAGAGAATATAGAGAAGGAGTGCACAATGCTAATTTTTTTTTTAAATAATGCCTAAAAGATACATTAAATCAATAAAGAAAACATTACACACACTACCTACCATGTATTTGACGCACACACGCATGCATACTATTTATTGTCAAACTTTTGTTCTTGACGTCTGTTGTCAAATTGAGATTAAATATTGTTTGTCTTTGTTAATATTTTTTATAGTGTAGTCTTGGCGAAATTTGTGATAGTGTGTGAAATGTGTGAATAAATTTGTGATTTATAGAAGTATAAAATACAAACATAATAGTGTACAAACTTACAATTTCAATTAATTATAGTCGAATTTCGACTACTGCGGGACCTCTAGTAAAGATAAATGTCGCGTATTAACCGAAATGCCACTTAACCCAAATACCTTTTCACCTCTCGATATAAAGCACCTTTCATACCTACAGCAATCATGCCATTTACTTAAAACTATTGCACTATTATTTGCCGGTAAGTACCAATTTTCTTTTCATTCCAGTTCTGATAGCTCGTGAGCATACACACATCCGTACAAAATGGTACATAGGTTCGTCATCTTTATAGTTTCTCGAGTAAAAATATTGACATTCTCCTTATTTGACAACACGAAATCCGGTGCGAACATAAAACCCGCAAAACACCTTAGACATCCCCATGCGACCCTCGACTTAGCTCTTAATCTGTCAACCCGAGTAAAACCCGCCCCGAGCGATAACATAACCTCCCCCGTAATCTGGCTACACATTTGTACGACGCAAATCCTGACATCTGTCAAAGTGACAGGTGACGTCAGAAACAATTGTCAAAGTCTTGAGGTGAGTCGAATGTAAGTGGCGATTGTGGTATGTTCGTTTTATGGCTCATTTACGATGGACTTTTTTTAATAAATTTCTTTATTGCCCGTTTTTTTTTATTGCTTAAATGGGCCGACGAGCTCACGGCCCACCTGGTGTTAAGTGGTTACCGGAGCCCATAGACATCCACAACGTAAACGCGCCACCGATCTTGAGATATAAGGTCTCAAGTATACTTACAACGGCTGGCCCACCCTTCAAACCGAAACGCATTACTGCTTCACGGCAGAAATAGGCAGGGCGGACTCACAAGAGGTCCTACCACCAGTTATTACGCAAATTATAATTTTGCGAGTTTGATTTTTATTACACATTGTTATTCCTTCACCGTGGAAGTCAATCGTGAACATTTGTTGAGTACGTATTTCATTAGAAAAATTGGTACCCGCCTGAGATCTACAACGTAAATGCCGCCACTCACATTGAGACATGAGTTTTAAGGCCTCACCTTTAAGAGTACAATGGCTGCCCCGCATTTCAAACCGAAACGCATCACTGCTTCACGGCAAAATAGGCAGGGTGGTGGTACCTACCCGTGCGGACTCACAAGAGGTCCTACCACCAGTAATGTTATATTATACATATATGTTATATTATATAGTATTGTTATATTATAATATTATGTTGACTTGGCTGTTTGTTCTCCTTGTAATAAATAAATAAAGTGTTTTAAAGGTTACGACTATCTTAACTCATGTTCTGTAATTGGGATGAGCGCCACAGCAATCCCAACGCATTGGCATCACAGTCCCTGTCAACAATAAATCCCCTTTATCCTACCTGAGTCTCAGTGAGCATCAGACTGGTGGCCACCTCGAATCGCTTCGGCCTGGACAGGTACTTGTTCATCCGGAACTGCTTCTCCAGCTCCAGAAGCTGCTGAGACGTGAAGGCGGTGCGGGGACGCCGAGTCTTGCCGAGGAGTGCGTGAGGGGCACCTGGGGACAAAATATCTAGACTTAGACTTTATTTGTTGGTACTACTAAACGTGTAAGGGTCTGTTCACACGTATTTACAAATCTCACGAGAGCTCAGTTAAAGTGACCAGGCTCGGCTTAGGGACAGGGGGACAGGGGGATGGGGGGTGCGTTTGCTCGAATCAAGGTACACGGCTGTAACAGTACTACCGTTCAAATATTGTAATAATTACCCATATTACAAAGTAAGCACGTGACTAATTTTTTCTTGGCTATGCTGAGAGCCTTGAGATGCTATTTTAGCGATACCCTAGCATGTAGGTGAGCTCGTGGGGCTCAAACCTGACGACGTTGCTAACATTGGCCCTAGCAAGAGCAGTGCTTCGCGGAATCTACCACCGAATCGGAAACGCGACCCACTGAGAAGATCCGGCAAGAAACTCAGTGGGCTGTGTCTGTGGGTTAATTTACGAACCGAGCCCTTCGTCGCAAGCGACGGGTTCGGTAAGGACGGTGACCGGTGTTTGAGATACCTAAAAGTACCGTTAATGGATCGGGAGGATCCGTAATGACGTGTTTAGGGCGACGTCTTACCATTCGCTCCACAGGATCCGGTAAGACTTATATCGATTCACGATTTTCACTATGAAGGAATAACAGCGTGCCAGAAATAATGAAAGCTCCGCATTTCTAGTACTGCCATAGATTCCGCTTTGAAGGGTAGGGAGTAGGTAGTGTGTTGTACAAAGCTACTGAGTTTCCGATCGCATCTCTAAGCTTGGGTAGTATTTACGTCGACTCGTCTGTGAGCACCGGTGATGGTAGGACCTGTTGTGAGTCCGCGCGGATAGATACCACCACCCTGCCTATTTCTGCCGTGAAGCAGTAATGCGTTTCGGTTTGAAGGGTGCGGCAGCCGTTGTCACTATATTTGAAACCTTAGAACTTATATCTCAAGGTGGGTGGCGCATTTACGTCGTAGATGTCTATGGGCTCCAGTAACCACTTAGCATCAGGCGCACCGTGAGCACGTTCACGTGTCTGCTGCACTGTCCGTTCTGTTCACGTATCAACTAAACGTATTCCAAAGTAAATCTAAAGTTTTACTTCGTAAGTGATTTGTATTCGGGTAGTGTTATTTTATTGGATACGCTCCGGATGCTGCTCTACTACGAATATGGGAATCCGACAGGTAAATTAAACTGGATTACTGATTACAATGCCAAACTAAAGCCAATTGATATTACTAGAGGTCCCGCAGTAGTCGAAATTCGACTATAATTAATTGGAATTGTAAGTTTGTACACTATTATGATTGTATTTTATACTTCTATAATCACAAATTTCGCCAAGGCTACACTATAAAAAATATTAAGAAAGACAAACCATATTCTATTCTTAATTTGACAACAGACGTCAAGAATAAAAGTTTGACAATAAAAAATAGTATGCATGCGTGTGTGCGTCAAATACACGGTATGTAGTGTGTGTAATGTTTTCTTTGTTAATTTAATGTATCTTTTATGCATTATTTAAAAAAAATATTAGCATTGTACACTTCTTCTCTATATTCTCTATAAGTGTGGGAAATTTCATACTCCTCCGTTAGCGCAATTTTCGTAAAAAGGGATACAAGGTTTTTGCTTCACGTATTAATATATAGATTCTGCAGTCACGTGGTTCGGTATTCTTGAACAACAACGTGGGAAACGGAAAGCTTAGAGTGAAAGAGATGAATTATGGGTAAGAAAGAGATGGACGATAAAAGTTCAAGATGGCGATCGGGCAATATATGGGTCTGAAATAAATACATTTCTTTTATTTTTCCGTAAGCTGTGTTTTTTTTAAATTGATCTACTGTTTTTATTGACCTCTTAGCAGATGAGCATCTGACGTAGAGTGGTCACCGTGTGGTTCTCACGGCCATCAGCAATGCCGTATGCCTCGTCCGAAGAATGACATATCGTAGCGCTCGGGCGATACCGTAGAGGGGAACTCATTCAAAAGTTAGACAATACGTGACAGAAAAGACCTCCGGAAACGCACTGTGCATGATCGCAGTGATTCTAGGTGCCCTAGACACGTCCATACGGATCCGTCAGATCCAATAACCTTTGCATTAGACGCCTTCAGCTCTAACACTAGGAGCAGGCTTACGGACCCCGGTAACCGTACTCGTCGAACTCGACAAAGAGTTTGACGTGCAACCTAACCCATGTATCAGCTCGCTGAGTTTCTCGCCGGATCTTCTCAGCGGGTCGCGATTCCGATCCGGTAGTAGAGTCATACGCGAAGCAACTGCTCTTGAGTTGTTAGGTCTCCTTCGGAGGCGCTCTGACAGTTGTTAGCATATACCACCCCTTCTGGCTGAGCTTTTGCTCGCCCACCTGTCCTGGTGAATCTGGAAAAGCTTCAGGGCCACCAGTAATAATTCAATCATAAAAAAAAGTGGTTTATCATTTAAGAATTTTTTTTAACGCGCTTCTGTTCTGTTTGGGCATATGCGAAAGGATCGTTGTCTTATTTAAAAAAAAACAGATCAGAAATTATCAGTGAGAAAATTTACTTATTCATAAACGGTTAATTAATTTCAGCTAAAGTTCAGTTAGGTAACCTAGATCTATAGCTATCACAGTCTGAATACCTCCACACTTATGATGATCGGTCTGCAGGTTCGCCAGACAATTCTCCTCCACAATACAGTGAAACTCACGCCTATGTGCTCACCAGACAGTTCCTAACGAGAGATCGGAACGAAACGCCCGATAAAAACAAAAGTAGAGCATATTCTCCATCGATTCGCAAAACCGGAGACTTGATTTATCGGTATTACCAGAATAAATAACTCTTGACGTCTCCCTATAGATTTAGGAGCTTAAAGGAAACTGAGAAGGATTTGTTTTGAGACCAAGGATGGCGATTAATATTTATAAAGAATGTCCTGAGCCCTGCAGGGCAATCGCAAACCCATCTTTTCTATCTTAACATATCCATTAAACAAGACTTGTAGACAAACTATACATATTTAGATCATAATATATTATTACTAGCTGACCCGGCAAACGTTGTTTTGGCATATATAAGATTTCTAGGGAATTTCTAGTGTACATAAAAAACTAGCTTATTGTAAGTATGTAAGGATGTGGTAAATGAGTGAAAGAGGCATCAAGCGTTGTGAACGATGAGGGAATATAAAAATAACAAAACCTTATTCCAACACATAATGCCTCATTATAACAAAAAAAATTGTCCAACAAATAAATAAATAAATAAATGTTAGGGGTGGACAACCCTTGTCACTTAGGGGTATAAAAAATAGATAGTAGCCGATTCTCAGACCTACTGAACATGCATATAAAATCGGTCAAACCGTTTCAGAGGAGTGCCTACCGTAACTAACATTGTGACACGAGAATTTTATATATAAGATTAGGCTTACATATTTGGTTATATTAGAGGAAGTCTGAAAGTGGCACCTGTGACAGAGAAGTTGAGAAGTGCGCGTTTGGGATGGTATGGACATGGGATGAGACGAAATGACAATGAGGTTGGTAACTATGTTAACTATGAATGTGGAAGGATATAGAGGAAGAGGTAGACCTAAGAAGAGATGGATGGATTGCGTGAAAGACGATATGTGTAAGAGGGGAGTGAGCGAAAAAATGGTATATGATAGAGGAGGGTTGAAGAAGAAATCATGTTGCGCCGACCCCAAGTGACTGGGAGAAGAGCAGGATAAATGATGATGATTTGATTGTATGTTCGTTTACCTGCGAGTTTTTTTATCTGTATATTAATACGTGAACCAAAAACTTTGTATCCCTTTTTCCGAAAATTGCGCGGACGGAGGAGTATGAAATTTTCCACACTTATAGAGAATATATAGAGAAGGAGCGCAGGATGCTAATATTTTTTTAAAATTATGCTTTAAAATATATTAAATCAATAAGAAAATAATTACACACACCACCATTTCAAACTTTTGTTATTGCTTAAAGTCTGGTCAAATTGAGAATAATTTAATATTGTTTATCTTTAATATTACTAGAGGTCCCGCAGTAGTCGAAATTCGACTATAATTAATTGGAATTGTAAGTTTGTACACTATTATGATTGTATTTTATACTTCTATAATCACAAATTTCGCCAAGACTACAGTATAAAAAATATTAACAAAGACAAACAATATTTAATCTATTCTCAATTTGACAACAGACGTCAAGAACAAAAGTTTGACAATAAATAGTATGCATGCGTGTGTGCGTCAAATACATGGTATGTAGTGTGTGTAATGTTTTCTTTATTGATTTAATGTATCTTTTATGCATTATTTTAAGAAAATATTAGCATTGTGCACTTCTTCTCTATATTCTCTATAAGTGTGAAAAATTTCATACTCCTCCGTAAGCGCAATTTTCGTAAAAAGGGATACAAAGTTTTTGCTTCACGTATTAATATATAGATTTGTCTAAAGTGTAGTCTTGGTGAAATCTGTGATTATAGAACTATAGCAGTCTGACATTAGAACCATATTAATGTTCTGACTTATAATTTCACTTAATTTTAGTCGAATTTCGACTACTGCGGGACCACTAGTGATAATAATGAAATGTGACTAATCTTGACACCAGGTTAGATACAATTATGTCAAATCGCTATGAAATTCGTATGGAGGTTAGAAGTAAAGAACACCATATAAGCGTATTGAAAAGTGACTGCTGAAACGAAGCCAACTAAGGTGGCGACTACTGCTTAGATGGGTGGACGAGCTCACAACCCACCTGGTGTTAAGTGGTTACTGGAGCCCATAGACATCTACAACGTAAATGCGCCACCCACCTTGAGATATAAGTTCTAAGCTCTCAAGTATACCAACGGCTGCCCCACCCTTCAAACCGAAACGCATTACTGCTTCACGGCAGAAATAGGCAGGGTGGTGGTACCTACCCGCGTGGTCTCACAATTCTACCACCAGTAAATCAGCGAAACAGTCACAGATGAGCGAAGATCGCCACCCCGAC